TGGGTTAAACACACACACACAAGGGGGATACTTTTCTGGTATATAAAATAATCTCTAGCAGTCTTAGAAGTCTAAAAGTAATCGATGATGATAATTTTTTTTTCTTTTTGAGATAGCATCTCACTCCATCGCCCAGGCTGGAGCCCAGTGGCACAATCATGGTTCACTTCAACCTTGGCCTCCCAGACTCAAGCAATCCTCCTACCACAGTCACCCAAGTAGCTGGGACTAGAGGCATGTGCCACCACACTTGACTAATTTTTGTATTTTTTTTTTTTTTTTTTTTTTTGTAGAGACAGGTTTTTATCATGTTGCCCAGGCTGATCTTGAACTCCTGGGCTCAAGCAATCTGCTTGCCTTGGCCTCCCAAAGTGTTGGGACTACAGGCATGAGGCACCACACCTGGCTGATATTAACCAATATTTATTGAATAATATATACAAATCATTATGCTTAGCACCAGAAATACAAAGAAGTATTAGACTTAACATTCCTGTACTACAATTAGACTGCAAACTGTGGTCAAATAATTGGGCCACAACATTTAACTAACGAGTATCCTATACAACCAGTTTTAAAAGGTGAGCAGTAGGAACTAAACATAGTGAAAAAGAATAAAGGAGGAAATCCTGGGAATGCATATTAATATTTTAACTTATGACTTGTCTCACCTTTTATAGCAGCTTACATTTTTTTAAACAGTGGGCATAACATCTGAGTGGAGGTTTACAGAAACTACAAGGAGTCAGGGTTCACCCCATATTTCAGACAACGAAAGTGAAGCTTTCAAAGAGGTTACCCAACTTGCCTAAGATCACAGTTCAGAGAACTAGTTGGCCAACTTTGTCCAGAGCTCACTTCTATCACACTAAATTCTGAATTATCAGTGCTAAAGTGAGAACCTGAAGGGACCTCAGACATCTCCTAATGGAGTGTTTCCCTAACCAACCTGATAAACTTTCTGGGGTATACCTTAAAAACACATTCCCACAACCCACCGCAGACCCCCTAAATAATTTATAGGAGAGAGGTTTTGCATTTTAACAAGAGCTCTCAAGAAGTGATTCTAATGAGAAGTTATGCTTAGAAAACACTGTACTATGTCTATATGTCCAGTATGCCAGACATTTGGCTGCTTAAATTTACATTGACTGAAACAGCAAAATTAAAAATTGAGTTCTTCAATTTTTAGTTCTACTAGCTACATTCCAAGTGCTCAAGAGCCACATGTGGCTAGTGGCTACCACAGCTGAACAGCAAAGATACAGGAAATTTCCAACATTGCAGAAAGTTCTATTGGATTGTGCTGATACTAGATCAACCATTCAATTGCCGTGAGAAAACTGAGGCACAGGATCTCGTCCATCAAGGCCATGGGGCTAGTCAGCCGCAGAATTGCGACACCAACCTCACTGCCAGCGCCCCTCCTACTGTATCACTTGATCCTATCTCATATTCAGGGTTTGTTCAAATGGGAATTGTTTCCTTTTCACCTTTTCTTGTGGGTTTCAGCAAAGCAAGAAGAGAAATTCTAAATTTGTGGGTTAAAAAAACCCCCCAAGAACCTAAGAAAAAGTTTATTAAAAAAAGATTAAATCAATCTGCAATTTTTGCATAAATCAAGTCATCCTGGACAGTTAATACTGTGGTATGAGGAGACATAGCTTATCTTGCATTAACTATTGTAGTCCTTTCTCTTTTATTGTCCTGATGCTTTTATTCTCTTTCTTGAATTCGAAACCCTCCGACTAATGATACTAAGTGTGAAAGGTTAAATCTTACTTAGCAAACATTTTAAAGATGCAAAATTGAGAAACAAAGACCAACCCAAAGAATATCACTTGTTTAATGTTAGAATGTGGTAACTCAGACTACTGAGCACTCTTTGCTTTTAGTAATTCAGTGGTTTAGCATTTACACTAATATGTTGTTTTCACTTTTAAACTACAGTTTATGGCTTCCTTTGACCCCTGTGTTATGTTTGAAAACTATTTAAAATAAGTTGTTTTAATTTTTAACATAATTGAGGGGCCAAAAGCAGCACTGAAACATCTAGAAAGATTTAGGTAATAAGGTCAACATATAACCAGTTTTAAAACTGCGGCAGTGTCTTTAAAAATAAAACCAGTAGTTCCTGTCTAGTATGTTTAGAATGCAAATGTCTCCAGAGTCAGTCAACTTAAGTCATGACAGTTCATGTTTAAAGCTGGAAAACAACTTGGAACTCCTTATTAAAATGTTAAAAACCCAATAATTACAGCTCTATTGATTCTTTTTCACGAGCTAAATTCTAGTGAGTAGATTTAGAGGAAATATTTTATGTCAAACATTACATAAAGTTAGAAATTGGATGGTTAAAAAACATGACCCAACATAAGGCACTATGGACAAATACTTATTCAAGACAGATGTTGCCATAATTTGCAAGGTACTCACAAGCATTCAGTATGGGGTTCTATATAAATAGAAGATACTTGTTATTTAGAGAAGGAGGTGGTGCAAAGAAAAAAAAAGATATTTTCTTTCTGAACACTCTGGTGTTGAGGTAAACAAATGAAAAATAAAATAACAGTCTAAGTACACAAGAGCAAAGTAACCGTCTCTAAGTTCTAAAAGCAGGAGAGAAAAATCGAGTCTAACCTTTGAAACAGGAGACTGGGGCTTAAGGTGAAATTTATTTGCTGGCTTTTAGATCAGAGGCATTATTTCTACACTGTATCTATTATGTCTTGACCCCCACTTGACTGTATTAGAGAGAAACGAGTACATCCAAGATTCTCAAGCCAACACAACTACTTTTGGAGGCAGCATAGCTCATCAAATGAAGGAGTATGTTAGAAAAACATCCAGTGACAATAGTTTCAACTGAACTGTCTCAACCACCCACTGATAAATACTGGTGCATGTGAGTATAAGGAGAATTAAAAATATTGTAAACTCTAAACAAGTTTTAAAATGGTCTATAAACTTCAAATCTCATAAAAGAGAGAGTTACTCGAAAAAAAAAGGAAGAGTAAAAGCATTTGGAAGAGGGGCTCTTGGAGGAAAGACCAGCTTCCGAGGAACATAGGTCAAACGGGTGGGGGCGGTAGTTCTTCTAAACATCCCCTCTACCAGGTGATGCTTCTAACAACTTCAGTACTATCCCTAACAGGCAATTTTAGACATCCTTAGAAGTGATTTAGGAAACAAGCAAATGTGCTTTGTGATACAAGAACTGCGGAGATGATGTTGAAATTTCTAACTTCAAAAAGATGCACTAGTGAGAGAAAACAGACATGAAATTCCCATACTGTAATTCTTTAGCTTCCTGTAGAAAAATATCATCTTTAGACATGTAAGCCAGCACACTTGACACTGACCCAGCAAAGTTTTCGGCTGGCCCTCACTATCTCTCAGCTCCCCCTTCCTCCACTTCCCTGCTGTTCTTTCCTGGCACACAAAATATAGGCCAATGAGCAGTGGGTGGGTGAGGAGGATGTGAGAGAAAATTTGAGAAGTAAAAAAAGGAGCAACTTAACCAGGACATGAATGAGACAGAAGGGTCTAATAAGGGTAGGCAAACAACAATTAGAACTACTGAAAGATGGGCTTTCCCCGACAGTAGTGAGCGCTGAGTGCTTTTAGGGGTTTAAGCAAGGGCCAGGCTACCTACCACTTGTCAGAGAGGCTGCAGAGGGAACGGCTGCTTTGGATGACCTCTAATGTCTCTTCCGACTCTGAAATGTTAGGATTCTTATTTCACAACGGAGAAGGCAAGTCATAGAAGCCCACTGACTTGGAACCCTTTTAAATATGCAACCATGGAGGCTGCTTCCCAAACACCACTCCCACCTCTCCCGCACGTGCCCACCCCGCCCCCTTTCAATATTTCCACCTCCACGTGCAAATTGCCTCGCGGTACTGGCCCCAAGGCGGATAGACACCTTCCCCTTGCAAAGCACCAAAACTATGCTCGCCCTCCTCCCAAAGAAGTGAGGACTACTCCACTCTCCCACCCAGGGTGGCTAAAAAAGGAAAAGTCTCAGATCCAGCGTTTCCCCCCTAGCCAGAGCAGGGGACGGGGGCGGGGGCGGGACGCAGAGAAAAACTTTCTTCTCAAATTTTTCTTCCAGAGGGTGGAGATGGAGAGAACCCCAACGAGTCCTGGGCTGACGGGGTGGGGGGAGGGGAACCCCTGAATCGTTTAACGGCTGGAAGGGGGAGGGGGGCTCCGGAGGTTGAGGGGGCGTGGGATGGAGAAGCAGGCCAGGGAGCGGGGTCAGGGAGCTGCGGGGTTCCTGGGGTCGGGGAGCTGCAGGCGTCCCCCCCACCTGGCACACAAAGCGGCTGCCGCGCTCGGCTCTCACCAGATCCTTTGTGTTTTCCATCAGGGCCTCATGGGTAGGGGTTGTCCGTGCTCCCCGAGCCCGCGGCGCCCCCTCCCCGGGCTGGGGGTAGGTGCCTCTCCCCGGGACTGCGGCGATACAGGGGGCCCCCGGCTGGGCCCAGACCGGTGGCGGCTGCGGCAGCCCCCGGATTTCCCCCCTTTAACTCGGGTGGCCCCAGGATATCAACAACATTAGCATAGCCCTCCCTCCCCAGCGCGCCTGCGCCGTGACCCGCGCCCCGATTGGCCCACTTCCCTACATACCCTCCTCTCTCGCTTCCAGCGTGGGACCCTCTGCAGGCTCCGTACTCCACGGACTGTACCAAGACGAAGGGTGGAAAGCTTATCGGGGCTTGTGTCAAGTCCAGTGGTTAAAGTCAGGAGGAAAAGTAGACGTTTCATTCAGTCGTCCCAGTGTATAATCGGGCTTTCTTGCGCTCCTTTCAATATGTTGCAGCTGCGAAGTTGTGTTGAAAAAATTTTCCACTCCAGTCACGCCGCTTCCCCCTACACCCGGAAGATTGGCCCTCCCGGAGGAACTCCCACACGGGGCGGGGCCGGCTAGGTGAGTGGGAGTTACGTAGAGGGAGGGAGTGCTGGTCACGTGGCAAGGGGCTGCGCAAGCTCCTTCCCGCCCCCTGGGCTTCGGCGGCGGCGGACAGCGAGTCGCCCGGGCGCATGCGCAGCGAGGTTCCACGTGAGCGCCTGCGTTTCTCCTCAAACCCAACGATGCCGCCGGAACGGAAGAGACGAATGAAACTGGATCGGAGAGCCGGAGCAAAGCCGAAGCGGAAGCCCGGAAGGAGGCCAGACTGGAAAGCCGGAGCCGGACCGGGCGGGCCGCCCCAAAAGGCTGCCCCTTCATCCCAGCGGAAACCGCCGGCCCGGCCGAGCGCGGCGGCCGCTGCGATCGCAGTCGCGGCAGCTGAGGAGAGACGGCTTCGGCAGCGGAACCGTCTGACGTTGGAGGAGGACAAACCGGCAGTGGAGCGGTGCCTGGAGGAGTTGGTCTTCGGCGACGTCGAGGACGACGAGGACGAGCTGCTGCGGCGTCTGCGAGGCCAGCGGGTGAGGGAGTCCGCCGCGCGCGGTCTGGGCGCGCTCGGGCGGGGCGCGCGGTGGGCGGTGAAGCTCCGGGGGGCGGAGCCTGGGCGACCTGCGGCGGCGGGGAGCGCTCAGGTGGGAGGGAGCCCGAGAACGCGGGTGCCAGGGGTCGCAGCTGCGGGTCCCTGGTCTCCCTGCGCCGGACTGAAAGTCTTTGGAGGGCGGGGACCGCGCCTTTCTCCGCCCCCGGAGGCGCCGCTGCTCGGGTATCTGCTTTGCGAACTGTGGTCGTGAGCATCTTTCGCTGCTGCCGCTCATCTAGCCTCTCCCCAAACTGAGTGTGGTCGTTTGATCACCTGCCTCAATTCCTTGTGATTCAGGAATTCCATTTGGTTAATGGAATCAGTTAGTTGGCACAGGCCTGGGCATCTGGGTTTTAACTATCTTCCCCATGTGACAATGAGACACCGTGTTTTGAGACTGATCGTGTATTCGTCCATTTAGCAAAATATTGGTGAACCTGTTGGTTGCCAGATACCCTTTCTGGCAATGGCAAGCCCTGCGTGATTGATCTTACTTTTTGCACACGTTTTGCCATACCTTTAGTTCTATATCTGGCTTTTCTTGAGAGATAGAATCCTAGACATTGTTCTAGGCATTGGAGGACGCACAGCAATGGACGACAAAACTGCCAAAAATCCCTGCCCTTTTGGAGCTTAGGCTCAAGTGATCCTCCTGCCTCAGCCTCCCAGGTAGCTGGGACCACAGGTGCACACCACCTCACCCAGCCAATTTTAAAAATGTTTTGGCTGGTCGCGGTGGCTCACGCCTGTAATCCCAGCACTTTGGGAGGCCGAGGTGGGTGGATCAGGAGGTCAGGAGATCGAGACCATCCTGGCTAACACAGTGAAATCCGGTCTTTACTAAAAATACAAAAAATTAGCCTGGTGTGGTGGCACGTGCCTGTAGTGTCAGCTATTGGGGAGCCTGAGGCAGGAGAATCGCTTGAACCCAAGAGGCGGAAGTTGCAGTGAGCTGAGATGGCACCACTGCACTCCAGCGTGGGTGACAAAGTGAGACTCCATCTCCCCCCTAAAAAAAAATCTGTAGGGACGACGTCTCCCTATGTTGCCCAGGCTGTCTGGAACTCCTGGGCCCAAGCAGCCCTCCCACCTTGACCCAAGTGTTGTAATTACTGTGATGAGCCATGTGCTCTGCCCGTCTAAAGTTTAAGAAGGTAGGAAGTCAAAAACGGTTTAGGAAAATGGAGATAAATCTTTGACTAGTTTGCCTCCTAGTCCTGTAATTTCTGTAGTTTTGGCATTTCTCCTGCTTTTTTCATCTGTGGACTCACCTTTTGTTCTTGTCTTACTTGGTGTTGTCCTTTCTGTATGCTGAGTGTTGACCTTTTCTCCTTGACTGTTCCATCTTTTCTCACCTGCCCAGTCGGTGGTGCCATTCTCTGGTTTCTTCATTTTCTGCCCCTGCCTGCAGCATTTACAGTGGTAGCATTCCATCTCATTATTTCATCAGAAGGCGGTAGAAAAAACATTCTATGAGCCATTTGGCTATAAGGCCTGTGTGTCTGCAATCATGGGATAGGAAAAAAACAGTGCTTGAGGGTGTTTTGTCTGCTATAGGTTCAAAGACATGAAGACTCGGGTGACTCAGAAGTGGAGAATGAAGCAAAAGGTAATTTTCCACCTCAAAAGAAGCCAGTTTGGGTGGATGAAGAAGATGAAGATGAGGAAATGTAAGTTGCGGAACTTTTCTTCCAAATCCCTCTGGAGACTTTAAAAGTTATTTTGCAGATTTTAAAACCATTCTTTTTACAAATTTGTGATTATATGAAGATTTGAAAACTATTTGCAAGTACAGAAAAGATCTCATGGTTCCTAATCCCACCACCGAGGGAGAACTGCTGTTAGCATGTTGTCATACTTTTCTGTCTCAGTATCCTCTTCTTTGCTCTGTACAGTAGCTAAGAGGATACAGTGTTTGAAGTCAGATCTCAGTTTGCCTCCTCATTTGGTCAGTTTCTAATTGACCATGGGCAGTTTGGAGCCTACATTTTTTCCTTTTTGAAATGGGTACAATGGTAGTAACTATATCAGAAGTTTGTTGGAATTAAATAAAATAGTACATGTAGAACTTTTAGCACAGTGCCTGAAACTGAGTAAAGGCTAAAAAGAAGGTAGTAGGAACCGTCGTAGATGAGAATATACTGTATGCCGGATTTAACGTGTTGACTTTTTCCACGTAAAATTACTTTGTAAGCGTTTCTTCCTACTTAAAAAAAATAGACATTTGAAAATGGCTGTGTTGTAGTCCATTATGTGAATTAACCATAATTTATGTGGCTATTGTTGGGTAGATTTTCTTTTTCCTTTTTTAAAAAGAAGTCATTATTATTTTTTTGAGATGAAGTCTTGCTCTGTCGCCCAGGCTGGAGTGCAATCTTGGCTCACTGCAGCCTCCACCTCCCAGGTTCAAGTGATTGTCCTTCCTCAGCATCCCGAGTAGCTGGGACTACAGGGGGCACCACCACGCCTGGCTAATTTTTGTATTTTTAGTAGAGGTGGGGTTTTGCCATGTTGGCCAGGCTGGTCTCAAACTCCTGACCTCAAGTGATAACAGCCTCCCAAAGTGCTGGGATTACAGGTGTGAACCGCTGCGCCTAGCCTTATTTTTCCCTTTAAGTTTGCCAAGACCAGCTTAGTTGTAGAGACCCCAATGCAGGTGGTGCTGAAGGAATTAAGAAACAGAAACAAAGATAGAGTGCAAAAGTGGGATCAGAGTGCGACGTCAGGGGACTGACAGCATTTCCCAGCTGACAGCCCAGAGCAGACTCTGACCCATGTATTTATTCTTTGTGAATAAGTGATTATTTTTAATAAGCAGGTGCTCAGTGTTTCTTCATAGAATAAAGATAAACAGGCAAATAGTGCCTGATCACTACTAAAATAAAAATAAGCTAGAAAGCACTCTTTGTGAGGCAGCAATGGGGACAAGGTCATGTGTCCAGTGTTTTGGGAACTGGTTAACGAGTGCATGACCAGTACGTATCGCCTACTATTCTAGTTTTCTGCTTGGGGATGGCTTGGTGTTCCTTGCCATCACTTCTCAGCAAACAGCATATACTCCGTCACACACTCGTTAAGACCTTTTCCCAACAAAATTAATGCTGATTATCTCAGCATTAATGTTTATCACATCTTTATGAATAAAACTTTGTTCATTTTCTAATTTATTGCCTTAAGAAGATTCTTTGAGGTAGAAGTACATGATCAAAGAGCACAGTTGTGTTTTAAGGCTCTTGATAAGTACTTCCAGACTGCAAGCTGTGAGGTCCTACCAGTTTACCTTCCCATTGAAAGGTGTCAGTTTTAGTTTATTCTTAGAAGCAATGATTTATTTTTTTTTTTAGACTTTGTCATTTTGGTGGTGGGTACTATCTCTACTTAATTTATTTTGAGAAAACGTTTTTGTGTTTAGTCATTGTCATTTTGTTTTTTTTTTTGAGACTCTCAACCTTTCATCCAGGCTGGAGTTCAGTGGCGCGATCTTGGCTCACTGCAACCTCTGCCTCTCAGGTTCAAGCAGTTCTGCTTCAGCCTCCCAAATAGCTGGGACTATACGTGCATGCCACCATGCCCAGCTGATTTTGTATTTTTAGTAGAGACAGGGTTTCACCATGTTGGCCAGGCTGGTCTTGAACTTTTGACCTCAAGTGATCCACCTGCCACGGCCTCCCAAAGTGCTGGGATAACAGACATGAGCCACCATGCCTGGCCTCATTTGTTATAAATATTCTTATTATGTCTTTGTCTATTGGAGACTTTTAAAATAATCTTGGTATATTAGTTCCTGAACATATTGAGAATTTCAAACCATTGTATGTTAGATTTATTGTAGGTTTTCCTCCAGCTTTCTGTGCATAGAAGTTTTAAATTTTTATATAGTCAATCTGTGAATGTTTTTCTTCGTTATTTTTACTACTGTTTTTAATAGTAAATAGTTCTTTATCAGAGACAGATGGTTGCCCATATTTTTACTTCGTAGTATTTTAAGGTTTGCTCTTTTTTTGAGTCGTAGTTTCACTCTTCTTGCCCAGGCGGCGGGAGTGTAGTGGTGCGATCTTGGCTCACTGCAACCTCTGCCTCCCGGGTTCAGGTGATTCCCCTGCCTCAGCCTTTCAAGTAGCTGGGATTACAGGTAACTGCCACCACACTGGACTAATTTTTGTATTTTTATTAGAGATGGGGTTCCACCACGTTGACCAGGCTAGTCTCGAACTCCCAACCTCCAGTGATCCGCCCATCTTGGCATCCCAAAGTGCTGGGATTACAGGCAACAGCCACGGCACCTGGCTTTTTTTTTTTTTTTTTTGAGATAGAGTCTCACTCTTTTGCCCAGGCTGGAGTACAGTGGTGCCATCTGGGCTCACTGCAGCCTCTGCCTTCTGAGTTTAAGTAATTCTTCTGCCTCAGCCTCCTGAGTACTAGGACTACAGGCACATGCCACCACACCCAGATAATTTCTGTATTTTTAGTAGAGACGATGTTTTAGCATGTTGGCCAGGCTGGTCTCGAACTCCTGACCTCAAGTGATTCACCCACCTCAGCTTCCCAAAGTGCTGGGATTACCGGTGTGAGTCACCACGTCCAGCCTAAGGTTTGCTCTTTATTTATTTAACTCTTTGATTTACCTGGATTTATTTTGGAGAATTTCGTAAAGTGTGTGTAGATGAGTCAGGACCAATTTTCTCAAATACTAGCTCTCCAAAGTGGAAATTTGATGATCTGAAATATTAGAGACTACTTTTTTGTTTTAGGAAGAACAGAATATGTATATGAAATGTTCACATTTTAAAAATCTTGAACTATATTGTTTCATTAAACATTTTTCTCCCAGTGCTAAAAGCAGCAACTATTTATGTTAACTCTTTAAAAGTTATTTAAAATTTGCTGTTCTGTTTTCATAGGGTTGACATGGTGAACAATCGGTTTCGGAAAGATATGATGAAAAATGCTAGTGAAAGTAAACTTTCGAAAGACAACCTTAAGAAGAGACTTAAAGAAGAGTAAGTGTCCTTTTAAATGTGATTTACCAAGAGGTGTATATAACCATTGCGCAGTTGTTAACTGTTAACTGCTTCTTACGTAGTTTTCCATTTTGAAACAGTAAGAGCATTGTTATTATAGGCAGTGACTAAATTTCTGTAGTTTTGGGGGAGGGGAGCAAAACAGAAACACAAAGAAAAAAAAAGTTTGGAAAAAACTTAACAATCTTACCGCTCAAATGTGTAATCAGTGATAATATTGCTTACTTGCTTGTTCATTTGCGTATGGTAAACCATAATTTTATAATGTGAATATTTTCAAAAATTGTGAATGGCTGCCACCTGGGTTCAATGTTTTTTTTTTTTTTTTAATATTTTGTCATATTTGCTTTATATATTTGGGGGATGTGTGTGCTTTCCCAATCTGTTTGAGAGTAAGGTACAGATAATGTGACACTTTACCTATAAATTTGTCAATGTTCATCTCTTAAAATTTTAGGACATTTTCCTTCATATTCACAATACTATTGTCACACCTAAGAAAATTAATAACTTATGGCTAGTCCATGTTAGTTTTTTAAATTGTCATAAGGTGCATACATTTTATTTGGATTTTATGTCCCTTAAATTTATTTTACTTATTCATTTTTTTCTAGATAGGTTCTCTGTCACCCAGGCTGAAATGGAGTCGTGCCTTCATGGTTCATGGCAGCCTCTACCTCCTGGGCTCCCCGTAGCTGGGGCTACAGGCGTGTGCCACCTTAATTTTAAAAAGTTTTTGTAGAAATGGGGACTTACTATGTTGCTCCGATTGGTCTTCAGCATCTGGGCTCAAGAAATCCTCCCTCCTCAGCCTCCTGAGTAGCTGGGACTACAGATGCATGCCATCATGCCCAGCTAATTTGTATTCTCTTGTAGAGATGAAAGTTTTTCGCCATGTCATCCAGGCTGGTCTTGAACCCCTGGGCTCAAGCAATTCGCCCGCCTTCACCTCCCAGAGTGCTAGGATTTCAGACGTGAGCCACTGTTCCCAGCCATACCTGTTCTTAAGTGGTCAGACCTATTGTCTTGTAGAACATCCCAAATTCTGAAATTTTAAAATTCTTTTTTTTATTGAGGTGAAATTCACGTAATAGTATTAGCCATTTACAGTGTAAATTTGGTGGCATTTAGTATTCAGACAGTTGTGCCACCACCTCTTCAATCTAGTTCTAAAACGTTTCTTTTTTTTTTTTGGTTCTAAAACATTTTTATCACATCAAAAGAAAACTCTCCATTAATTAGTCACTCTGCATTTCCTCTTCTCTCAATCTAATTATTTTGTTTTCTTTATGTTGCTTAACTTGTTCTGTCATCTGTATTTTCTGTTAAGTTGGGCTTTAAGGCTTGGTTAGAATTCAGTTTACATGTTTTGGTGAGGAGTATGTTAAGATGATGTGTACCAAGCACTGCCCCTCAAAGTCCAATTGTATCAGCCTCTCTCAAGTCTGATCTTTTTCTCAGCTTTGTACCAGAGTCTTATAAATGCCTTTGGGGAAATTCTTGGTGGTAACAGGGTTCATCTTGTTTATTTCCCTTCTCTGAGGTATCGCAGTCCTATATGCTGTCATCCAGTTTCCAAGAAAAGTTGTTTCATATATTTTGTTCAGGTTTCTAGTTGTTTATGGCTAGTGGGCTTAGTTTGGTGAGCTAGTCTGTATTTCTGCATCAAAAAATTAAAACAACTCTTTGCCCTCTTCCAGATACCAGTTCTTAAGAACACAACTATCATGCTTCTCTTAAACCTTACTTTTTCCAGAGTGAAATGCTTCTATTTTATTCAGATGATGAGGTTTTGTATATTCTTACCAATCTGGTCAATTTCTTTCAGACATGTTCTAGTGTGTAGTAGTGTGTAGTCTGTGTACTATGGCATTGACTTAAACCACAAAGAGACTTCTTTTTTTTTTTTTCCTGAGACGGAGTTTCGCTCTTGTTACCCAGGCTGGAGTGCAATGGCGCCATCTCGGCTCATCGCAACCTCCGCTTCCTGGGTTCAGGCAATTCTCCTGCCTCAGCCTCCTGAGTAGCTGGGATTACAGGCACGCGCTGCCATGCCCAGCTGATTTTTTGTATTTTTTTAGTAGAGACGGGGTTTCACCATGTTGACCAGGATGGTCTTGATCTCTTGACCTTGTGATCCACCCGCCTCGGCCTCCCAAAGTGCTGGGATTACCGGCGTGAGCCACTGCGCCCGGCCGAGACTTCTTTACTTAGTCCTGTTTTCTGGGGTGTGTTGATATGAGCAAATAAGACAACCATGTAACTAGAGAAAGATAATTAACAATAAACATGTATCCAGGACTAGTTTAAGTGGGCAGAGGTTCATGAAAGTTTCCAATATAGGCGGGTGGGGACTGTTCTCTGTGAGTAAAGGTAATAACTTCTGTTCCTAAAGATAGTTACTTCTTTGGAAGAGTTTTTATACAGGGTGATCCAACTTATTTGCTTTAACTGTATCAAGCTTTATGGACATGTAGTGGTTGCCATAAATTTATTTTTCATATATTTTTGCTTAGATTCCAGCATGCCATGGGAGGAGTACCTGCCTGGGCAGAGACTAATAAGCGGAAATCATCTTCAGATGGTGAGTGTCGATATCTCTGTTTAAATTAGTACATAAGTCCTTGTTCCTGTTTGTTATTATTTGAACTTTCTTATGAAGCTCATTAAAACCTGGTAGTTCTTGCCTGACACAGTGGCTCATGCCTGTAATCTCAGCAGTTTGGGAGCCCAAAGCTGGTGGATTGCTTGAGCCCAGGAGTTCAAGACCAGACTGGGTGACATGGCGAAATCTCATCTCTAGAAAAAGTACAAAATTAGTCAGACGTGTTGGTGTGTTCCTGTGTTCCCAGCTACCCAGGAGGCTGGTGGGAAGTTGCTTGAGCCAGGAGGTCTAGGGTGCGATGAACTGTGATGGTGCCACTGTACTCTAGCCTGGGTGACAGTGAGACCCTGTCTCAAAAAAACCCCCAAAAATCTTTTTTGATTGTAGGTTTTAAGTTTAGCTTGTACTGTAGCTATTTTCTTCTTTTTCAGTCTTTAGAGTTTAGCTTTTATAAATATGGATGGCTTAGCTAAAATCTGGTTTGTGTGATTGGAGTTACACATTTTAGACTTGGAATTAACCTCTGAAATCTTGAGAGTCCAGAGTATGTCCTCTTACATCATGTAGGAGCTCCTTCCTTAGCATCCTTGATGTCTGATGAGCTTCAATTTGATTATGACCACCACTTCTGTCCCCTTTCTCCCTGCCCTGTTAGTTCTCATGGTATGTAAATACAGGGAGTCCATGCAAAGAGCCAGTGTTTTATATAATTCTGTTAGAAAAGACAATCTGTTATTAAGTAGAGATTGACCATCTTTTTTCTAGCCAGTTGCTTTTAGAGCTTGAAGGAATCTTGTTTTTAGTCAAGTTATCTTGTCAGTATTTGCCTGGTTATATTGCTGGACATTGCATATTAAAAATAATGTAGATTAATTAGATCTAGAATGGTGGTGTATATGTTTAGTTCTAGGTAGATAGCTTGGCAGGGGACACTGGCAATCCCAGAACATATTATTTTAATGAGGAATTGTGAAGATTCAAAGCTGAGTTTCAGTATTTGGAAGATTTTCTTATAATTCTGATTTCACCTTTAATCCTAGGGGTAGCCTTTTGTGGCCCCAATCCAAAATCCGGTTGTTTACCAGATGCTGTCAAGAAGCTTAGAGCTAGCTCTTGCTTTCTTAGCTCCACAAGTGTTTTAAGTTTGCCCAGCTTCTTAGCTGTCTCCACTGGAATCATCAGTCATCTCCAAGGGAAAAGCAGCCCTATCAGCTCTTTTTGAAGTTCTGAAACATAGATTGCTGACATTGGTCTTTTAGTCAGCTAAAAGTTCTAGTTCTTTTTCATGTGAGTTGTTAAGCCAGATCAGTAGCCAACGTATTGCCAATTTTGCCATAATTATGAGTTGCTCTTTTAAATGAAATGCTGGCTTTAAACTTTTATTTCACTTCATCTTGTTTTAGTAACCATCTGTGTATGTGTTAGTCTTTCATTCCAGAATTAAACTTTGATTTTAACTATGGATGTTAAGCTTCGTGTCATCTTTTTTTTCTCCTTTAAATGTTTCTTTATTCCTTTTTTTTTTGCGGTTTTGCTTTTACCAATTGTACTTTTAAAAAAAGCAATTGAGGTTGGGAGGCTGGAAAGGGAGTTGATGTTGAAAATATATTCATAGAAGTTTGGGGTAGAGAAGGGCCAGCTCATTGATTCTAAAGGTCAGCCCTCTGGGTTTGTTTGACTTAGATGAAAGTGAAGAGGATGAAGATGATTTGTTGCAAAGGACTGGAAATTTCGTATCCACATCAACTTCTCTTCCAAGAGGAATCTTGAAGGTGAGAGTCAGTGAAGTTGGGGGACCCTATCCAACTACTTACTTCTGCAGTTTAATCTGTTTCCCAGTTACAGATGTATGGATTCCTATTATCTGTTGGATTAAATATGTTTGCTGTTATTTTACCCTGATAATACTTACTTTTTTTTTTCCTTTTGCAAAAATGTTCAAGAGGTATTATGTTCCCATTGCTTGAGCCCAGGAGTTTGAATCTACAGTGAGCTGTGATGGAACCACTGTACTTTAGTCTGAGTGAAAGCAAGACCCTGTCTCTAAAATTATAAATTAATAAATAAATTTCCCAATAATTCTAGGAATCCTATTTCGTTTATCTTCATTTCATTGGCATCAGCCTAGTCCATACTCCTGTCATCTCTTATCTGGCATATTGCAGAAGCTTTGTGACTGGGCTCTCTACTTCCACTTTACCTCTTTTTAAATGATTCTTCATATAGCAGCCCAGAGGGATCTTATAAAAATAAAGTATCAGATCATGTCACTTCTCCTTGCTTTTTGAAAACTTCTGAATGCCTTATTGTATTCTACACTGCCCTTTACAATCTGGCTTCTGCCTGCATCCTTAGCCTCATCTCAGACCTGTTTTCCATGATTTCCCTCTTGAGTCATACAAGTCTTTTTCTGTTTCTTGAATATGCTGAGTCCTTTCTTGCCTGTGACCCTTTGCTCTTGCCCTTTTGTTCTACCTGTCTTCAGGCAGTCCTAATGACTAGCTGATTCTTACGTCTCTGCTCAAATGGCATCTTAGACAAGACTTTCTCTAAAGTGGTCTACACTCTTCACTTTCTAACTTATCACCATGTCTGGCTTGTTCATTGTGCTAACCAATTGCCTACCTAGCATAGTACTTTAGTTACATATCTGTCATATTAACAGATCTGTCTATGACATAGATATGTTTCCTTACTACACAATGGCATAAGTGTTTAGATGGGGCAGGGGAACCTATTATGATAAATTACTAGGAGATAGAGTGGTTTTGTCTCCTCCTACCTTATGAGGACAATTCATTTAGCCCTTCACAGGGTGAATTCACTTCCATTAAATATGTAAGTTACCATAAAAATGTAACTTCATTGGTTACAAACAAAACACATACTTTTGTTTTTAACTGAATTTTAAAAATTCAAGGGAAAACCTGTAAAAGCAAAATAAATAACAAAGTAGTCCAGGTGATGCATGAGATTACCATTACTTTAAACCTGGAACCATGTACCCTAAGAGAAGGAAGTAAGCAATCTGTGCCAATCAGAACTGTGGGGACAACTGCACAGTACCTCTTGCATTTGTGCCATGAATGCACAGGTGCCACGTGCCAAAGTAGACGTTTTAAGTGAAATTTCCCCAGAAGCCAAAGTCTTTTAACACAAATGGATGTATTTTGGGGAAATGACTACATAGTAGTGCTCCAGGAATGAGTAATACATTCAGACTTCTAAATGTGGAAAGCACTTTAATGATTTAATCTTTTTATTTGAAAGATGGTAAAAATGGATTCTTGTGTGGTAAAGTGACTTGCTAGTTGGTGCCAGAGCTGTGGTCCTTTTTTTTTCTTTGAGTTGTGGTCCTTTGTTTACCATTCCAGTGCATTTTTTTCTGCATTATAAATGATAATATCTTCGTGCTGTAAAGAAAACAATGTTAATTCATTTGAATTGATAAAATCCCAGCTTTCATTTTCTATAGATGAAGAACTGCCAGCATGCTAATGCTGAACGTCCTACTGCTGCTCGGATCTCATCTGTACAGTTCCATCCTGGTGCACAGATTGTGATGGTCGCTGGATTAGATAACGCTGTGTCACTATTTCAGGTATGCATCTTTATTTACTTATTTCTTTTTTTTTATTTTTTATTTTTTTATTTTTTTATTTTTATTTTTTGGGACGGAGTTTCGCTCTTGTTACCCAGGCTGGAGTGCAATGGCGTGATCTCGGCTCACCGCAACCTCCGCCTCCTGGGTTCAGGCAATTCTCCTGTCTCAGCCTCCTGAGTAGCTGGGATTACAGGCACGCGCTACCATGCCCAGCTAATTTTTTGTATTTTTAGTAGAGACGGGGTTTTACCGTGTTGACCAGGATGGTCTCGATCTCCTGACCTCGTGATCCACCCGCCTCGGCCTCCCAAAGTGCTGGGATTACAGGCTTGAGCCACCGCGCCCGGCAGTTATTTACTTATTTCTAATGTATTATTTTTATTTAAGAATGAGACATTTGCAACCCAAAATGCAAAAACAGTGAAAAAAATATTCATGGCTAAAATGTCATACCCCAAAATGTAGCTAAGTCTCACAGAAGTGAGAGTTCGTTTGCTGGGGAATACTAAATGGAACATCCAGTCAGCATACTGCCCTTGCTTCTTGCTCCAAAGTTTATTGTCACTGTTGTCAATCACAGCTGCACATCCCTTGCCTGTTCATAGTTTTGGTAGCTCACCATCTCTTGCCCACCCACATTTTTATTGAATGCACCTGTATGACTTCAATGTACAAGGAGCCATAATGGCGATTTGGAGGAAAGTGTTTTTTTACACTGAATATAAAACTTAGTAAAATATTGGTTTAAAATAATTGAGAAGTGATGAATATATTAATCATGTTAGTGAATATAGTATCTCGACAAAAACGTGTTTTTTAAATTTCCTGGTGGGTTATTTGAGCAAAGCGATAATATGAACTCATGATTTTACTGGGTCTTCCATGTTTCTTCATCTAACACTGATGTACTCATCAGTTTCTTGGGTTGCAACAATAAACAACAGATCTGGCCCTTCACTTCAGGATGTTACTCTCTGATAGGGGTGCAGATGGTGAACACATGATTACAGATGTAACCATTCAGTCCTGCAGATGCTTCACAGTATCTCCTTTTGGATAGGGTATCCCAGTTTTCTTTTAGAGAATAACACTTGGTCCAGTTCATGTAATTTGGATGGGGCTGACTCCATCTCCTTATCTGTGGGTGGACAAACTCAAGAAATTAGTAAGGCAAGGTTTGGGGAAGGAGCATGGAGCCTCCATGCCTTCTTAGGGCATGCCACCTCCCCAGCACCTCCTGGTGTTCAGCAACTCTGAAGCTCTCTGAACCCCTTCTGTTAAGATTTTTATGAAGGCCTGTTGACATAGGCATGATTGATTAAATCATTGGCCATTGCTACTTAACTCAACCCTCAGCCCCTTGGATATGTATTTTTAAATGAACGCTTGTAGTGAAATGCATATACTACCAGGATACAGGGTCCATGGAAATAATCAAAACAACCATTTTGTACTTCCTTACAGGTTGATGGAAAAACAAATCCTAAAATCCAGAGCATCTATTTGGAAAGGTTTCCAATCTTTAAGGCTTGTTTTAGTGCTAATGGGGAAGAAGTTTTAGCCACAAGTACCCACAGCAAGGTTCTTTATGTGTATGACATGCTAGCTGGAAAGTTAATTCCTGTGCATCAAGTGAGAGGTAAGATTTGTATTGAACATACACAACCAATCATTTCCCCTAAGGTGAGTTTATGTAACAGTGTTTACAACTACTTTTTTCACTCCATAGGATTCTTAAAAGTAACAGTTTCTTTAGGTATAGTATTTGGAAAATGTCATTGTGCTTTTGAGATAACACGTTTGAATGAAACCAGTGAACTTTTTTATTGAACACTTAGGAATGATCATAGTTTGGAAATATATATTCCTCCTAAACCAGACAAGCAATTGCAAATACTTGGCTGTAAAGTTAGCAGTTGTTGCAGCAGACGAAGCATGAGCCGTGGAGCTAGAAGACCTGGGTTCCATTTCTCTGGACAAACTTTTTTACCTCTCTGGTCTTCAGGAAACTTGGATATCCTCTAGTTTTAGTGTTATTTATAATAAAACTTTAATTTATATTTAAAGGGAATAAAGCACTGCTCTTGGAGGTACTTCTGTATTTTAAAGAATGAACTACTTAAAAAACAATGCTTTTTTAATAGGTGAAAATTTATCTGCCCTCTATCATACCCATTCTTCTCCTGTATTTCCCTCATGCATCCTTTGGGAACCAAAGCCCTTCTAATGAGGTTGTCTGGCTAATCTCAGGAGGTAGTGTTGGCGTATGGCACGGGTCACTGGTGCTCTCCCTATTAAACTGCACATGCGTGTAGCTGGAAAGGACAAGAGTAGCTCTGTACAATCATTTTTCTACTAGTGGTTGAAAGTGGATGGGGCCAACTTCAGAAACATTTACGATGTTTCAGCATTTTCAATCTTTGCTTTCTTTTATTCCTGACACTTTGAATGATACTTTCTGAGTAAATCCTTGGTTTAACTAATTATACTCTAAGCTAGAGCTTCTCAGAGTTAATGTGCATGTGAATCACCTGGAGATCTCATTAAGCTGCAGATTCTGAATCCATAGGTCTTGGTGGGTTGATTCTGCATTTCTAATTCTCTCAGGTGATGCTGATGCCATGGTCCATGGACCTCACTTAGTTAAAAAGCCTGAAAACATCTTCTCATATTGAAATAGAAAACAATATATAGTAGTTATTATTTTTACATATTATTTCACTAATCAAAAGTGATGGACTTCGGCTTCTCCTTGTCTTCACCCTCTTGGGAGAAAGTACATGGCCAACATACAGTTAGTGATCTTTACCGTGGATCTGCTAGGTGTGCAGGAGTGTGTGTCCAGTCACCAACTGCTTTTGAGACATGGCACTGATCTTTCCTTCCCAGTATTTCTCCTTTTCTCTTTCTACTTTCACACTTCCACTGCCTGATACTGTGCTATTAGGATTAAGCCTATAGGGGTTTCCAGCTGTGGCTTCACATGGTGCTAAAAGAAGCCTCCTGTCCTTGCCTCATCATGTAATGATACCTTCCTTATGTTTGGAACTACTTCAGTATGCTTTAGTCATTACATATGGTTTACCTAGAAACTGGAGTTCAAATTATTGTTAATAGGGATAGTGAAGTGCCTTTCATCATAAGGAGACTGGTCATCAGCAGAAGTAACCCTAGTTTTGGAAATATAATGTGTGTCTGAAATGATATTGGGGAACATGAGTCCAAGCAAGAGAACTAGAATATAGTCTTTGGGAGGCAGGACTAGAGTGGGGCCCAATTTGAAGTAGTGGGAAGTAGCCTTAATCAGCGTTTTCCTGTAGTAGAACAAGGGTCCTTAACCAGATTTTTGTAAATCCTTTCTCTCTAATTGATATTTTAACTTAGCAACTTTACATTTAAAAAATAAAGACATAGATTTTTGGCTAGGCAGTATATTCACATAGTGTAAAAATCTAATATGTACAATCAAATGGATAGTGAAAACTCTTCTGCTGTGTCTCCCTGGCCACCTACTTTCTTCCCTTGGAGATAGCCTGTTGTATGCATTCTTACGCATCCTATTAGGTAACTTTTTAATGAGTAACTTGGCTCTGTAAGCATTTCAATATTAGGAGGAGTTTCTTGTATCTTCAGTATTAACTTTTCAGGCACAGAAAAAGAGACATGTCTTTTTGTAAATAAGTCAACTGGTTTGTATACCTAGCTCTTCTATGATTTGGTTACATGAGTCACATCCAGAGATGCTAGTCAGTCCTTAAGTAAACTGACATTTTGTGAAAAGTTTTGTTTTTTGGCTTACAAAGATGAGACTCCTGTCCATCATGGGATGCTTATTAGGTGGCCAGCAACTAGTTTATGTATGTTTTTATGTTTTTGGCTGTCTCTAATGGCAGTGTATTTCCCTTCTGGCAATGAACTTTGTAACAGAAATATAATTTATCCTTTTAGTTAATTAGAGGTATTACTGTGTATATTTGGAAAATTAGTTGATACGTTTACAGTTTAGAGACCCAAGTCTCTGGCCTACAAGTAAAATGGTGAATGCCAACCAGGATAAAGAAGAGAAGTTTGCTAAGTGCTTTGTAGTGACTTTATGTTTGGGTCGTTTGGGTCAGTGATGCCTGGGTTTAGACTTATTCAGGGTCTGAGCCAGGGTTTTCTTTAATTTGAGTCACTTACATATTTCAAAAGGTAAGAAACTCATTTGTCAATAGATGATAGTTTTATTGAAAACTATTTTAAACTTTATTTAATTGTGTCATCTCCTTTCTTAGGTTTGAAAGAGAAGATAGTGAGGAGCTTTGAAGTCTCCCCAGATGGGTCCTTCTTGCTCATAAATGGCATTGCTGGGTATTTGCATTTGCTGTCAATGAAGGTAAAGCATTATGATTGCTACGTGTTCTTCTTGCACAAGATGTTAGTGCAGGGATACTCTTGAACCTTAACTCAGTGTGTCCTTAAAATCTGCACCTCCAAGTAGAGGAGCATAGGTGGGACTTGGAGAGAAGTTGTAGGCAGTTGGGAGGGACCTTTTGATTACAGGGAAAAACAAAGTTGAGTAGGTGCTAGAAAACAGAGAACTAGGTTGTTTTTACTCTACGTGTGTGATTCTTCTGTACACTTTCTAACAGTTTGATAAGTATTATTTATGGTTTTAGACCAAAGAACTGATTGGAAGCATGAAAATTAATGGAAGGGTTGCAGCATCCACCTTCTCTTCAGATAGTAAGAAAGTATATACCTCTTCGGGTAAGTCAATGACGTGAAAGAAGCTAAGGATTTTTTTACATTTTAAATTTTGAGCCCGGCACGGTGGCTCACGCCTCTAATCCCAGCACTTTGGGAGGCTGAGGTGGGCGGATCACTTGAGGTCATGGGTTCAAGACCAGCCTGGCCAACATGGTAAAACCCTACTAAAAATACAAAAAGTAGCCGGGCATGGTGGCACGGGCCTGTAATCCCAGCTAGTTGAGAGGCTGAGGTGGGAGAATAGCTTGAACCCAGGAGGCAGAGGTTGCAGTGAGCTGTGCTCGTGCCACTGCTGTCCAGCCTGGGGGACAGAATGAGACTCTGTCTCTAAATAAATAAATGAATAAATTTTGGTCATTTATCCTGGGCCACAGAGCAAGAGTCTGTCTCAAAAAAATAGAAAATAGGCCCGATGTGGTGGCTCATGCCTGTAATCCCAGTACTTTGGGAGACCGAGGCAAGTGGATCATTTGAGGTCAGGAGTTCAAGACCAGCCTAGCCAACATAGTGAGACCCTGATTTCACTAAAAACACAAAAATTAGCCAGGCATAGTGGCGCATGCCTGTAATCCTAGCTAGTTGGGAGGCTGAGGCAGGAGAATTTCTTGAGCCTGGGAGACAGAGGCTCATTGATATTATATTCCTAAAGGAAGGATATTGAGGTATTGGGAAAAGGAAGAGGTAAAATAGTGAGGATCCACTTTTGAGACAGTTGTAGGGTCATTATAGTAAACTATTTATGCTTATTCATAAGCTTGTATTTAGCATTTTTTATCATTTACATAACTTGGTAATAGATAAATTGTGTGTGTCTTCTTCATTATAAATTCCTGTGGTCTGGATTAGTTCATTTTTCACTTGTTGCTCTTCCATCATCATTAAAAGTTTGGTATCTAAATTGCTAACTTTGCCTGTTAGGTACTCTAATGACTGTCGATAGATGTTGGAAGAGCTATGCTACTGAGTGGCGTTTTGTTTTTTGCTCCAATAATTTATGTGAGTGAAACATAGAAGCTTTTTCTAAAAGTTCAACTCAGACCAACAAATTGTGATTTTTTTCCTTGTAAACCTAAAGATATTGTCTATTAGTGACTAATTGATGCAGTTTTCTTCTATATATACGTGAATGTATACAAGAACTATTCTTAGGCTGGGCATGGTGGCTCACACCTGTAATCCCAGCACTTTGGGAGGCTGAGGCGGTTGGATCACCTGAGGTTAGGAGTTTGAGACCAGCCTGGCCAACATGGCGAAACCCCATGTCTACTAAAAATACAAAAATTAACTGGGCGTGGTGGCACATGCCTGTAATCCCAGCTACTTGGGAGGCTGAGGCAGGAAAATTGCTTGAAGCCAGAAGAAGGAGGTTGCAGTGAGCCAAGATGGTGCCATTGCACTCCAGTCTGGGTGCCAAGAGCAAAGCTTCATCTAAAAAAAAAGAAAAATATTCTCAGTCCAGTAGTCCAGTTTTCCAGAACTAGGAGGGTTATAATAGGTCTATTTGTAGTCTCTTGTACTATTAAGAGGAACTGAGAGTGGTCAGTTTACTTGCCTTTCAAGTTTAAAGCAAAATTAACAAACTCTTTTTTGGCTCTTTTATTCAGGGGATGGAGAAGTTTATGTTTGGGATGTGAACTCAAGGAAGTGCCTTAACAGATTTGTTGATGAAGGCAGTTTATATGGATTAAGCATTGCCACATCTAGGAATGGACAGTATGTTGCGTGTGGGTAAGTAAAGAGAGGTTATTGTAACCTTAATCACATTGTGCTGATGAGAATATGATAGGGAATTGAGTATACTAGATGGTACATGAGTATACTAGATGGTACATGAGTATAAACTAGATGGTACATACATAAACTATTCAGTAATATGAAATTGGTGAACCCAGCTGAGCCTTTTGTGTTTTATCATCTTTGTGCAGTATTTAATAATAACAACACAGTAGTTCCCCCCTTATCTGGAGTTTCACTGTTTGTGTTTTTAGTTACCTGTGTTAATCACAATCTGAAAATACTACATAAGATATTTTGAGAGCAAGAGACCACATTCACATAACTTTTATTACACTATAATGTTATAATTGTTCTATTTTATTATTATTGTTTTAGTCCCTTACTATGCCTAATTTATAAATTAAACTTTTTTATAGACGTGTGTACAGGAGAAAACAGTACACATAGGGTTTAGTAATCCACAGTTTGAGGCATCCACTGGGGGTCTTGGAACAAACCCCTGTAGATAAGGAGAGCCTACTATAATTGCAGTTGAACACTTTTGTAGCAAAGAAAATCCTGGCCCTACCTTATATTATTGTATTTTTTTCCTATATTTGAAATACCTGTTTGATCACAGCAAGTTTTCCTATAATTATTTTCAGTTTCTTGTCATTGATGAGGAAATAGAATAACTTTAGTTGGGTTTAAATCTTAAAGATACCTAAAGCGTTTTTTCTTCATCCAGCTGGGGGTATAAATAAAAAACATGTTCCTTGGAAATGGCATTTATTAGTATTGTAGAAACTTTAAAATACTATCTAGAACACATTTTGTGCTATTACTGAAAAAATTGGTTATTACACTGGGGAAAAGATGGCTCTGTTCCACTTAATTCTGAAGATGCAGGGTAGGAGGATGAGGCATTGGATACTTGGCAGTAATTCTAAGCTACCTTACTAAATCACTAATTAGCACCCATAATTCTGTAACTTTAAGGAATATGCTTTTATGATTTTCTTAGATCAAACCCAATTGAGCCATGAAATGATTTCAGTCAAATCCTCCCTGGGGTTAGAAGTCAAGAGGTCTTGCTGTCCAGAAACTTAGCATACTCTCTACTCTTTGATCACTCCCTCCCTCAAGGCTAAAACTGGGTAAACTGCTTGTATATATATCCCTACCACCATTTGCAAATTTGGTTTGGGAGGGAAGGCAAGTAGAACTAGGCTGTGGAGCTTGGAGACCAGGCCATCTGCCTTAGGCAGCAGGACAGTGACAGATCCTTTGGAGGAGGAGTGCCCTGATGAAGGCCCCCTTCTTTTCCCTTCCAGTCACCATACCTGTGTGAAGCCTGTAGTGAGGACATCTCAGCACAAGCCAAGCCTTTGCCAGAGTAGTGTGCGCTATGGCAGCAATTCATGAGTAGCAGATCTGGGAATAAAGCGCCTTTAAAACGAAGATTGGTGTTTAAACTCATTATAAGTAATTTTAAGCAGAACTGTATTTGTCTCTTTGTGGGGCAAGAAAAACTGCGCAAAAATGACCTTCGCTCAAATTTGTGAAGCCAGTGAAGTTAGTCTTTTTCTGGTCCTTGCCCTCTCTTTTTTGTATCACTTTTTATTAGTCCCCTTTCAAGGGCCTATACAGGAAACAGTCTAATACTAGTAGCTTAAACTCATTTAATTTTAATTGCTCTTCAGTGTAATTGAATTCTGATGTGCTTGGACAAACACCATTTAAGCCTTTAGAATCTTTTAAGTTGTTGTTAAAGAACCTGAAGCAAATCTTTAAGCTTTTAGAAGAGGAAGAACGGGACAGGGAGATGAGCCTTGAGGTCACTGCAGCAATAGGCATGCATCAGGTAATGAGTCACCAGGACAGTGGGAATGGGAATAGGGGAATAGGCACAGGATGTTTGTAATGTATTTGGTAAGTGCTTGGAAGATGGAGAATGGGAGAGAAGCATTCACATTCTCAGGGTCCAGGCCTGTATGCAACCAGAGGAGTGGAATTGTCATTGAAGGAGGGGGAGGAGGAGGGGTGATTGTGTTAGAAGAGATCATGTGCATGTGCTCCCCTCCCCCCCCCAACAGACCATTAGGAATGCAGTGCATAATTAGGACTAAAGGCACTGATTTGGATGTGGTGGGTGATTAGGTACTCTGGGGGAGTAAATGAGATGAATGAGACACTAGAAGTAGGTTGGAAATAGAATCCTAGGGATAAGAATCAGTGGAAAAAGAGGTGACTGTGAAGGAAACAGGGTGCAAGAAGTTCAGCCTTCAAGAAGTCAACAAAAGGGGGAGGATTTGAATTCCGTTTTCAACCTGCTTGGTTGGAGGTTCTATAGGACATTTGTGGCTATTGTGGCTGTGGCTGGTCTCTTTGTAACATATGTTTCCTGCAAATACCAGTTTGTAAGGTTAAATCTGTCACTTAGGTTTTGAAAGCCCTTTTACTTGTTTTTAAATCTATTTTAATCCCTTTTCTCTTTGTAGTTCTAATTGTGGAGTGGTAAATATATACAATCAAGATTCTTGTCTCCAAGAAACAAACCCAAAGCCAATAAAAGCTATAATGAACTTGGTTACAGGTGTTACTTCTCTGACCTTCAATCCAACTACAGAAATCTTGGCAATTGCTTCAGAAAAAATGAAAGAAGCAGTCAGATTGGTAAATATTTCATTACCCTTCATCGTTGTTAATTTTTAAATTTAAGTTGAAATCATGGAGGAGTAACAGGAAAGGAGAGTGTTGAATTGTTTTTAAAATACTTCTTTTGATGTAGAAATTATGAGTATTGTAGCTTTTGGATGTGGTTGTGGGAAGGATGCACAATAGCCACACATTTGTATTATGTCAGTTCTTTTAGGAAAGGTCTGCTGTCCATTCTCACCATTCTAAAGTGGTGGTTCTCATTTTCAGAGGTTTCTTTCAGTGTTAATGTTAAGGTCTGTTTGTAAGGCAGACACTTCATTCCTTCACAATTTTCTTTCCTCATCTACCTTTTAAAGGCTTGTTGTCTTCACAGAACAGAGGCAATTCTTAGGTTTTGAAAGTAAGTTGAACTTGAAAATTAAATTGTATAAAAGTACTGTAATTTAAATAGCTAGGTAGTGCTTGTGAATATACCCTCTGAGGTCAGGAATCCTCAGCACCACCTGCAGGTTTGGTGGCTAACTAGACAGACTTATAGGACTCTGCATATGTTCATTGAACTCCTGGCTAAAATTTATTGCAGTGAAAAGGATACAAAGCAAAATCAGCAAAGGGAAAAGGTACATGGGGTAAAGTCCGTAGGAAAGAGTCCTCTCCTAGTGGAGCCACACAGGACAGGTTTAATTCTTCCAGTAAAAGAGTTCTGATAACATGTGTTAAGTGTTTTCTTCCTGAGAAGCTTATTCAAGACTCACTGTTGGCCGGGCGCGGTGGCTCAAGCCTGTAATCCCAGCACTTTGGGAGGCCGAGGCCACGAGGTCAGGAGATCGAGACCATCCCGGTCAACATGGTGAAACCCCGTCTCTACTAAAAATACAAAAAAATTAGCTGGGCATGGTGGCGTGTGCCTGTAATCCCAGCTACTCAGGAGGCTGAGGCAGGAGAATTGCCTGAGCCCAGGAGGCGGAGGTTGCGGTGAGCCGAGATCGCGCCATTGCACTCCAGCCTGGGTAACAAGAGTGAAACTCCGTCTCAAAAAAAAAAAAAAAAAAGACTCACTGTTGAAGGTTTTTATTGGGGGTTCATATAGGTACCCTTTGTCTAGCATGTACCAACATTCTAGATTCCCAGAAGAAAAGCCAGATGTTTAGCATAAACTGCATTGTTGGTACAAATAGGTTAGGCACAGTGAGCTACCTATATCATTTAGGGAACATTTCATGCTAGTATAAGGAACTGCAGGCTAGTCAAGTCCTCTGTCATCATGTGATGGCCACCCTTGTAAGCAGACCTTTCTAAGGATACTGGCTTCAGGCAAACTCTTTTCTGCCCAGTCTCAGAGCTCAGCTTAAATATCACCCATCTCTGTGAAGTTTCCTACCCTTCAAGCAGAACCAATTTCCTCATTCATTTAACAGTTTTTTGCTCAAGGTACCAAGTATATAGAAGAAATAGAATTTTGAATAGCAGTATTGTGTTTGCTGCTCTTATGTGTATACTACCAGATTGTACACACTTTACAAAGTGTGTTATTTTTATTGTGCTCACTTGGTAAAAAGCCTTGCATCTGCCATCAGCTTTGTATTAGAGTGTATAGTTTACAAAGATTTACAGAGTTCTACAAAAAATTTGAGCCAAGTAACAGTTCTTCAGAGGATTAACTTGACCAAAATAAATAGTTAATAAAGGGCAGAATTGTGATTTAGAGTCCACATTTTTTTTCTAGCAGTTCATTAGTTCTCTGACTGAATTCTGCAGGGCCCTAGATTCTGCACAGGTCTTTACATGTCATGTAGATCAAGGAGGAGGCTAAGCTCCTACTCGTGTCACATAGGGCAGTGTCACTGTTGTCTGTGGTATATACTGGGATTCTGCATATGATTTCCCAGGCCTGTAATCCCAGCACTTTGGGAAGCTGAGGTGGGTGTATCACTTGAGGTCAGGAGCTCAAGACCAGTCTGGCCAACATGGTGAAACCTCATCTGTACTAAAAATACAAAAATGAGCTGGGCGTGGCAGCGGGTGCCTGTAATCCAAGCTTCTGTGGAGGCTGAGGCGCAGGAGATTCACTTGAGCCTGGGAGGTGGAGGTTGTAGTGAGCCAAGATCATGTCTCTGCACTCCAGCCTGGGTGACAGAAGAAGACTCTGTCTCAAAAACAACAACAAAAAATTTTGCTTTTGTTATACTTTAGATTCTGAGATACATGTGCAGGTTTGTTACATAGGTATACACGTGCCATGGTGGTTTGCCGCACAAAAAGAAATGTTTTGCCGGAAAAAGAGTGTGAAAAATATAGCATAGGATTTTATTGCCTCCCTGTTGAATGAATTGTTTGATAAATGAGAAGGTTCTAATTCAAGTCAGCTTTAAAATCCCTGCTCCTCTAATGGGAGTGGTGTACTAGTAGTATTAACCTGTTAACACTTTAATGTTAGTAAATTGTTTTAGAAAACCATGGGATCTGTCTCCTCTTGATGTAATATGTTCTGCAAGACACATAATAGTTCTGCATAGTTTGCTTCAGCGATCATGACAGCATTTATATATTTTTTATTGTGACAGAATCACACAAGGAATTCATTAGTAACAGCCAAATTTCAGTTTTTAAAGGCAGTCAACCATAATATCTAATGGAAAGAAGCCAGGCATAGCAGCTCCATAATGCCTTGGTAGAACATTGTTAGTATCATTAAATGCAATCCCTTTTAATGATCCAGTTAGTTTTGTCATCCCAGTACAAAGCACTGTGAATTTAAATCTGAGCTGTTGTACTAGTAGGAGACTCAGAAGTCAAATTCCTGTTACATCTACAATTTTGGATATAGTAGAACATCACGGAACTTCTACCTATTAAATCAAGGATAAGTGAGTGTTTACTTCTTGAATTTTGATATCTGGACGCTTAATTGTCATGATAGAAATGGTATTAGAAGGCTGGCCCCTGTGGCTCATGCCTGTTATTCCAGCACTTTGGGAGCCTGAGGCGGTGGGATCACCTAGTGCTAATAAGGGGGCTATAAATAGATGTCAGAACACAGCATAGTTTTAACCAGGTGGGATCATTGGCCTGAGGGAGGATTCACAATGTAGTGAGAGAGTACACTGGGGAATTTAGCAGGTAGATACTACTGATCTCTTAGGAGGACATTGTAAACAACCCCCCTCCTTTCCCTGATATTCCCTGTCTGTAGCAGAGATAAAGTTTAAAAATAGATCAGTTGTGGTGGTTCACACCTTAATCCCAGCACTTTGAGAGGCCAAGGAAAGAGGATCACTTGAGGCCAGGAGTTTGAGACCAGCCTGGGCAATATAGTGAGACCCTGCCTCTATGAATTTTAAAATTTAAAAATAAGTTTTCTATAAGTTGGCATTTATCTTTCACCAGAAGGACACGCTGTCCCATTGTGTGACTGCATGGCCCTGTGTATGGTTTTGTAGGTTATTTGTTGCATTGGTGGCACCATGGTCAAGAGGAATTCCATTTACATCAGAGACTGTGTGTGTATTTACCACAATTTTTCTGGTGCTGTGTTCTGTCTATTTACCTACAAAAATAAGTAGCCACCTTCTGGTAAAAAAAAAACCCAGTTACACAGGCTGGGCATGTTGGCTTACTCCTGTAATCCTAGCACTTTGGGAGGCCGAGGCGGGCGGGTCACCTGAAGTTGGAAGTTTGAGACTAGCCTGACCAACATGGAGAAACCCCATCTTTACTAAAAATACAAAATTAGCTGGGTGTGATGGTGCATGCCTGTAATCCCAGCTACTCGGGAGGCTGAGGCAGAAGAATCACTTGAACCTGGGAGGCGGAGGTTGCAGTGAGCTGAGATTGTGCCATTGCCTGGGCAGCAAGAGCAAAACTGTGTCTCAGAAAAAAAATCTAGTTACACTCTTATACAATGGTATGTCTTATTTATTATTCTATTTTTTTGCTCTTATTTGTAATTAGCAATTGATTTCATTATACATGAATCCAAATTAGGAGACCATTTTCCCCCAACTTCGGTTGGAAATAAAAAGCTGGTATATTAGTTCTCACACTGCTATAAAGAATGTGACCTGAGACTGGGTAATTCACAAAGCAAAGAGGTTTAATTAACTCACCATTCCCCATGCCTTGGAATGAGTCAGGAAACTTATAATTATGGTGGAAGGGGAAGCAGGTACCTTCTTCACAAGGTGGCAGGAGAGAGAAGTGGTGCAAAGGAGGAACTTCCAAACACTTAGAGAACCGTCAGAGCTCATGAGAACTCACTGTCATGAGAACAGCATGGGGGAAACTGCCCCCATAATCCAATCACCTCCCTCCCTCTATACCTGGGGATTACAATTAGAGATGACATTTGGGTGGGGACACAGAACCAAACCATATCAGCTGGTTTAACATAATTATCTTTAAGAAGTCATTCAGGGGCCGGGTGGTGGTTTACACCTGTAATCCTGGCACTTCAGGAGGCCAAAGCAGGGGATCATTTGAGGCCAGGAGTTCTAGACCAGCCTGGCCAACATGGTGAAACCCCATTACTACTAAAAATAAAAAAATTAGCTGGGTGTGGTGGTGCACACCAATAATCCCGCTACTCAGGAGGCTAAGACAGAAGAATTGCGGGAACCCCAGAGGTGGAGGTTGCAGTAAGCTGAGATTGCACCATTGCACTCCAGCCTGGGCAGCAGAGAGACTCCATCTCAAAAAAAAATAATAATAATTCAAATAGGTTGATTCCGGTGTATTTTGATTAGGAAGAGTCAGAAAACCAGCTCCCCAAACGTCAGAGTCATTCACTCACCAACGTTCCTGGAATGACTCTGACGTTTGGGGAGCTGGTTTTCTGACTCTTCCTAATCAAAATACACCGGAATCAACCTATTTTCATAGTATCAGGTGAATAGGGTGGGAACAAAAGGCAGAAGTAGAACAGCTTTCTCCTTAGCCCTTGCAGCAAATGTTTTTCTCCTGATCGTCTGCTCTCCTAATGCTTTGGATCATCTGTTCATAGTTGGCGCATGCCTGGAGGATACAAACTTAACAGTAATCCAAGAAAAACACAGTTAAGCCAAGGTACTTATCACACATTTATATAATAGCCGCCTTCCCAAATTAAATGTAAATAAATTTTGCAATATCCATGTTGTGGCTTCTTGCTGTAAAACAGGAATCTGCTTTACTACATGCTTGAAGAAATACCTATACTCAAAGTAATTTCTCGAAGAACCTGTATAGAGAGTGGTATTTAAGAACTTCGGACAGGAAGATCAAATTGGGGTACTGCCAGCTTCTTAGCTTTAATGGGTCAAGACCACTTCTCATTTGCACCATTGCCTTCACATTGATGCCATGCTGTGCAGGCAGAACCTGCCTTCTGGCAAAGTTGAGAATAATTGAATGTGGCTTGGAGAGTCACTGTAAACAGTATTTTCTTGACAAAATGGTCAGTAAGTATGTATCAGAGGGAATTTGGCCTAATATGTGACTGACTGAAACCAGTTTAATAGGTGTATGTATCAGTGGGTTTTACCTAGCACTTGTCTGTGAAAATCACTTCAATTGATTGTATAAAGTCTGACCTAAAAGTGTGGAGGATGAGAAGCTGCCCAGGTGAGTAGCTGAGTGATACAGTTGTATGTATTAGAACATGAAGATGCTGTATCTCTTGGGAGAGCTAGAGAACTTCTGAAAGTGAGTGTTGTTAACTATTGTGACTAAAGCTAACTGCTTCCTCACCTGGGTTTTATTCAACCACGAATTGTGTGAGGACCTGTCTCAACTCTCTTGAATTTAGGAAGTAGACTCTGGAGAAAGACCCTGTGTGTTCCTCCTCATGCTTAGGCCTGGCTTTGAGGTGAGCTTTTGGCTCTCTCTAAATTGGAACAGTTTCACTTGGAGTTAGATTTTCATGATTCAGCCCTCTTTGAGGAGAAATTGTAAAAGGCAAAGAGCATATACAATAGTTGAAAATTAAAAGTATAAAATAGCAATTTTATGATATTAGAATATATGTGGTATGACTTTGCCTAGGCTTCAGATACGTAAAATCAGACTCTCTATATAATGTTTAATTTTTTTCCACCATCTAGCCAGGTGAATCTTCATAATGTCTAAAAATCTCTTTTCCCTTTGATCAGATTTTAGCATTCTTTACTGTGGTCATTAAGCTAGAGTGGGTTTCACTTTAGTTTATTCGTGAATTTATTCAGCAAACATTTGAATCTCTGAGGCATCATGCTAGATGCTGTATTGAGGTTTTATCTCTTTCCTCCTTTCCTGCTCAGTTAATAACACATTAAAGATCAAATTTTACAATGTGTATACAAGGACGCGAGTAGAATAATAGACATTGGAGACTTGGAAGGGTGGGAGTGCGGGAGCAGGGGTAAGGGGTGAGAAGTATCTGATGGGTACAATGTGTATCAAGCTTGTCCAACTTAAGCTCATCACCTGTTGTTAGTGTATGTTATGTGTGGCCCAAGACAATTCTTCCATTGTGGCCCAGGGAAGCCAAAGGTTGGACACCCTATCCACCATTGGAGTGATGATGACACTAAGAGCCCAGACTTCACCACTATGCAAAAGAGCCATGTAGCAAAACTGCAGTCGTATCTCTTAACTCTAAAAATAAAGTGAAAAAAAAAAATTAAAGATCAAAACTTAATTTTGGAATAGTTTGCTGGGCTGATAGACTACTTTCTTGTATACTACAATCAGAATGGGCTTTTTGTTTCAGCAGATAGAATGAAGATGATGATTTAAGAAACATGAGTTACAAGTTGTTGCAGTTTAAAACTTTTTATTATCTCCTACAGGTTCATCTTCCCTCCTGTACAGTATTTTCAAACTTCCCAGTCATTAAAAAGAAGAATATTTCTCATGTTCATACCATGGATTTTTCTCCTAGAAGTGGATACTTTGCTTTGGGGAATGAAAAGGGCAAGGCCCTGATGTATAGGTAGGTATTATTTATGATTAAAAATCAGGTACCGGCCAGGCGTGGTGGCTCATGCCTGTAATCTCAGCACTTTGGGAGGCCGAGGCAGGCAGATCACCTGAGGTCAAGAGTTCAAGACCAGCCTGGCCNTCTTTCTTGCCTCAATTTCCTAATTAATAAAATGGGGGTTAAAAATATTGACTGTCTCACAGGACACTATTTTGATGCTTCCATGAGACTCTATGCAAAGTATTGAGAACAGTTCCTACACAAATAACACCCCAATATTTGTTAGCTATTATAATTATTACTAATGTTACTACTTAACGAAGACAAGATTTTAGTTAAGTAAAATGATACAATTATATCTACTTTGAGGTATGTTTAAACATTAGAGGTAACATTGTATTTTGATAATTATAAGTTGCTCATTTGTTCATATTTTAACTTCTCTAACATTAGAATCCCACTTATAATCCTTGACTTATTACAACTAAAATTGGCCACATTTAAATAATTCTCTTATTGAGATACAAAATGATGGGGTATCACACAATCCATGACGCCTTGCAATAAGTAGAATTGATATATACAACCACATCTAGGGGAGTTCTAGTCATATAAATTGCATTTAAATAAATTTTAGTTCTCAAAAGTACTATAGAACAAGAGGACTGAAAATGAAGATGACAACAAATGTTTAAAACAAACTCATTCTTACTTTGATTTTGAAAAAATACTTTAAGCCAAAAGAAACTCAGAATTCAAATGAAAGAGTATTGCTTATTTTCTATTTAGATTTATAGAATGAATGTAAATTAGGCACTTCCAATGATTAATATTCACATTTAAAACTGTTATAAATTTTCAAAAGGGCAGTTAAAAATTCTATTTTGCAGCCAGTCATGGTGGTTCACGCCTATAATCCCAGCAATTTGGGAGGCTGAGGTTGGTGGATCACCTGAGGTCAGGAGTTTGAGACCAGCCTGGCCAACATGGCAAAATCCCATCTCTACTAAAAATACAAAACTTAGGCACACGCCTGCAATCCCAGCTACTCTGGAAGCTGAGGCAAGAGAATCACTTGAAACCAGGAGGCAGAGGTTGCAGTGGGCCAAGATCACACCGTTGCACTCCAGTTTGGGGGACAGGGACTCCATCTCAAAATAAAAGTTTTATTTTGCTATTTTCTACCTTCAGAAGTGCTTTTGTTTGAAAGAAGGGAGGAAAAGCTTCAATTGAGACTAAGTTCTAATATTCCAATATTAAATCTCTCAGCTTGCTCAAACTGGGCAGGTAAATATGAAGTTTTAAGGACAGAAGGGTCCTGAAAAATAGTAATATATGTGTGCTACATAACAGGTATTCAGCTTATGTTTGACGAATAAATCAACTGAAAGAATAGAGGCTGTGCATGGTGCCTCATGTCTGTAATTCCAGCTCTTTGGGAGGCCAAGGTGGGAGGATTGCTTGGGTGCAGGAGTTTGAGACTAGCCTGGACAACATAGTGAAACCCTGTCTCTACAAAAAGTACAAAAACTAACCAGGCACAGTGGTGCACACCGGCAGTCCCAGCTCCTCAGGAGGCTGAGGAGAGGATCACTTGAGCACAGGAGGTCGAGGCTGCAGTGAGCCATAATTGTGCCACTGCACTCCAGCCTGGGTGAGAGCCTGCCTCAAAAAAACTTTTTTTATAAAAACAAAAAATGGATAAATACAGCCTGGGAGTTCAATATTTTAAAAGAAAACTCCCAGAAAATAAAGCAATACTTTTACAATAGTAATAATCACTTATATTTGCTATTTTTTATTTTCATAAGAACATAACTGAACTAAAATTTTCATCTATTTTTTGCATATATGTAGTAAATCTATATATAATTAAAACATATGTACATAATAAAAATGTATTCATAATAAAACCTTTAAGCACAGAGAAAAGGATTCCCCCTTCTCCAGAAGAGGCTAAAAGTTCACTGAAAAGACTAAATCGCAAAAATAATAGAAAGTGAGAAATTATTTTTATCTGAGCAAATCTCATATATTCTGCTTTCCCAAAGATTATTTCATTAATAACAAGCTTTTACTATAACTTTTATACATGCTTATTGCAGAAATCACAGATAAGAAAAAAAAGTTACTTATAGTACAAATGCCCAGAAATAAATGTAATCACATTTGGTACATATTTTCAGCTAAAACAGGGGTATAGTATGTGTGTATGTACAATCAAAACAATTTTTTTTCTCACTTGGTATAGTAAAGTACATCTTCGCATGTCAAAATAAGTCTCTATCTAGTCACACCTTCAACGGTTACTATTCCATCCTATGGATGCACTGAAATTTAGTTCTAAAATCCACCCTATGTGTTCTTCTTAATACATTGAGGGTTGAGAGTTTAAGCAGTACTGAGAAAAACAAATTGGATGTATCTTTATTTACAGATATTTCAGCATAATTAAATTGATGAGTAAAGGGCATACATGTTTTTTAAATGTGGTGCTTACCACCAAATTCTCTTTTTGAAAAGTCATTAGCAACTTAAACTTTAAGCAGTTATATAAGTACCACTGTCTTCATCCTCACAAACTTTGTGGATAGGAAACAGTATTTTATTTCTCTTTTAACATGAATTCCTTCTCTTATAAGAAACCTTAGGCCAGGCGTGGTGGCTCATGCCTGTAATCTCAGCACTTTGGGAGGCCGAGGCAGGCAGATCACCTGAGGTCAAGAGTTCAAGACCAGCCTGGCCAACATGGTGAAACCCTGTCTTTAAAAAAAAAAAAAATCAGAGGTACCTATAAACTAGTTCTGACAATATGAAGAGATACTATATATTTCTAATTCTGCAATTAATTGTAGCATATTCATCTTGACTTTCATCTTCATTATCTTAATTTGTGTATTTTTATACCATAAAATGTCACTAGCAGAAAGGTTCACCTGGGGAATATATGTATTTTTTGGAAAGCAGTATTTTGAGAATGTCAAATTGAGGAAAAGTAGCCAATAGATTTAACTTTTGCTGATTTGATAATTCAGTTTACTCCACTAGATTTAATTGATTTCTTTTTAAAAGGTGTTTCTTTCCCTGTAGCTTTAAGCTGTAAATAAGGGCATTAACCATAAAGGTAGCCAAAACTTACATGTGCTGTCCAGGTTCTTTTCTTTACCCAACATACTTGGCTATAAAACAGGAACAAACAAAACTTAATTGCATCATTGCTAGAAGATAGAGGTGACAAGGTGGATCTTCAGGGAGAGCTAAAGAGCTTTCAGTAGAAAACCTGTGATATAAATCACAGCCCTTTTTCCTTGCTCCCCATGTTGGTAGTGAATGCTACATCAAACCCTTTATGTCTGTATGCTTTAGGGAATGCCTGCTTTCAAAATGAACTGAAATCGGGAGTGAAGAAAAGGAGAAATGTAAATTGGTTTTGAGCAAATAGTTGTGAAAGGAGAATATACCAGACAATAAATTGGTTTTAAGTTCTACTTACTTTGAGAGGAAAATGGGTCATGACAAGATAATGTCATCAGTCTCATTTCAGATCAGATTTGGTGTGGTTCTATTTCAGTTTGTATTTTATAAAAGGATGCTGATTCTTTTTTTTTTAAGATGGGGTTTCACCATGTTGGTCACGCTGGTCTTGAACTCCCGACCTCAGGTGATCCACGCACCTTGGCCTCCAAAGTGCTTGGATTACAGGCGTGAATCACCACGCCTGGCCAGGATGCAGATTCTTACTGCCCTTAGAATTCTCTTCCAAATCCTTTGGTATTTTTACAACTGAAAATTTCTTTTCTCTAAGACCCAAAGGCCATTAGATTTTTCACCAGAACATTGCTATTTAGAATGAGACTGTTTCTGGCTATACCAGTAGCTGGGATGGACTGATGACGTTTTTATTGATTATGTCTGATCAGGTATTTCATAAACCCTCGTGAAACTTTGGAGTAAGCTTACTCATGTTATCTAAAAATCTGAGATAACATTCAGAACCTCGGGACTGTCAGATGGAGGAGTCTGAACCTAACTGCCTGTGATTACTTATTTTTGCCACTAAAATCTTCCTAAGTGCCATTCTGTGATCTCATCAAAAATACTGTGGGTAATTACAAAGTTGTTTAGAAGACTTATTTTTTTACTTTTTTAGGTTGCACCATTACTCAGACTTCTAAAGAGACTGTTTAAAGTAAGAAAACCCTTTTCTTACAAATTCTGCAGGTTTTAAGGTTACACCCATTGCTGTTAGTTGGTAGAAGCAGCACATTAGCTGAGCCTTGTTTCTCTGCCCCTGGGTTACTGCATCTTTATTTAGAGGGCTGGGATGGAAGTAGATCAGGAACTGTCTAGCTGGACTTGAACCTTACTTGAGAATTTCTTATCCCAAATCCCAACAATCTGGCTCGGTTCTTCTGAGGTCTGAAATCTAATACTGTATTGCATTCGGTAATTGTCATCAAAATTGTAGTTACTGAACATGTTTAATCCACAAAAGACTTAATAACACAGAGAGATGGATCTTCAGTTATAGCTATGGCTTGTATGGGCTTAAATCCTCTTATCATATATATGTTTCTTGAGAGATTGCAAACAATTTGGCCTATTTCACGGAGTAGATAATGGGGCTGGCCATTAGTTCCGCTTCCCCGTATTTAAAATCGTAGAACATCCGTCCCTTCTCTTGGCTTCCTTTCAGGCCTGAGATGTGGTGGTTCTGAGATTGAGCTTTGCAGTTGGCCTCTTCATCACACAGTTGACTGGTCTCCTCAGAGATTAATGAATGTTGAGAGACTTTGAGAATGCAGATGGATTTAATTAGGAAAAGGGATTTTTAAAGGTACAGGCATTTTGGGCAAAGCTTTAGCTAGGAGGGGAAAGCAGTTTAGCTATCCTGCCTCTAAAGATTACATTGCCAGCACATGTTTATTGATGGCCAGCAGCTGTAAATCAGGTATGTAATGTCTTTTGTTCTTTCCTCAGGTCCGATTGAGTCATAAGAGAAGCCTGTCTTGATATACCGTCTCAGAAACTTTCTGGAATGTGTGATAATATTTGGAAAATGATTTATAGAGCCAGCCGTGCTTAAATAAACATATGGCAGCTTTTGTTTGAAAATAAGTGTATGTGGTTCTTCCCTCCACCCCCAACACACACACACACACAAACTTGGATGCATTTAAGACTAAACGTGAAAAATTGGAAACACCTGTCTGTAGCTAAAAATAATATAAGCGGATTTTCTCATACTTCACAGCTAACCCTGATGGGTATTTTCCCCCTTCCTGCATAGATCTCTCCATGCTTCAGGGTATCAGCTATATCAGCTAACAGATAGTCTCATGAGATGTGGAGGTCAGTCGGTTTGATAAGAGAGCAGTGAAATGTCACATAGTGAACTTTGAACTTCCAAGTCTTCTAGGAAAGGTGATTTTGGAAATCAAAAGGCTTTTCTGGGCTTATTACTTCAAATCATTGTTACTGTTATGTGGAGAGAAGGCAGAGTAAACCTGGTAGTCTTGTCCTATGGATTATTAGCCACAGCCCTTTCTGGAAATGTTTGTTATGTCATCTTAAATGTTTAGTTTGGATTTCAAGGTTGACAGCTGGCTCTATAGTTTTCTTATAGCCTTGTTTGAAATTAGTTCTTACATTTCTTAGGAAAAACTGACACTGTATCATGCATTTAAGAAGTGTTACAGGGGTTGGGAGGGTGTTACGAGAACTATCAAGTTAGGTCTAATAGCTTTCCGCCCCACCATCTACTAAAACATGGAAGAGAGAAGTCAGGGTGGAGGAGGGAGTTTTTTCAGCAACAGGGAGGAGCTCTGCCCAGTGAAGTAATAGGTCCCAGGTCCTTCGTGTCTTCAAAGCTCTCCTAGGTCCACTGGAGAGGATGTAGGACGTAGAGCAGTCCAGTCGGTGTGGGTTACATTAACTTAGCCCAGCACTTTTCTAAAAGAACATTTTCTCTTGAGGTGAACTATTGCTATCTACTTGTGGAGACCCTTCCCCTACTTCCTCCTTTTTCAGCAACTTTTTTCATATTAAATAATGTTAACGCTGAAACCTGAAGTTCCTGAAACCAATGGGCTTGTTAGTGCTATTTGGCTCTCCCATTGCTAGAGGGCAGCATTGGATCACGTGAATAATTGAAGGCAAGGCTTTTGGAGCTTTTTGCCGTCACCTTGTCCTTAGCTTCAGCTAAATCGTTTCAGAAACGGACACCAAGCCTTATATGTGCTTATTTTGCCTGTGGTTTTCAGTTCCCAGAAGTGTGACAATTTATAGGAACTTACTGTAGAGAAAATGATGGAAGCAGAATCTAAATTTTAGCTGTTCTTTGTTAAACTCTCTAGATCATTTTTATACTCTACTGGGAGTAGAATAAAGAATCCAGTTCTAATCTCCAAGGTAGACAGATGTGTTATTTGTTCTACAGAGATGCTACTAATTCTGTGTCTTGTATTTTAATGTTTATTTTTTCCCCCTCAATGGGAGTTAGGGATTTGAGTCAGGCTCTCATTGCGACTCCTTGTAACCGGTGCCAAGCTAATTCTTCAAGGAAATGAGATCCACAGCCATGAACTTCTTTACAAATTCTCTTTTGGCAGTTTCTATGACAGCATGAAATGCATGCTATGGCTCATTTCCCTGTTTGGAGGGGGACCATCTTGAGCTGTAAGGTGATATTTTGCTACCCAGAGCCACATAGGATGTACTTGTGTATACTTTGAGTGATAAATTGACAAGTTGAAATCTTTGATGTATCCCATTCATCTCTCCCCCCATCCTCACTAATATTTAGTGAACTGAAGACTTTTATTAGTCTTTTGAAGAAGTTTCCTCTGTTTAAACAAAGAAGTATAGGTTAAAAGTCATTTGCCTTACTGATGGTTGTTAAGTGTGTGTGGATGTGTGTTTCTAGTGAGGATATGTAATCTGTCCTAAGCAGACCAGCTGTACGGTTTGTAAGCATAGCTGCATCTCCAGTTTGGGGATGGGATGGAGGCAAGCAAATACCCATGAGGTAAGGTGCTTGCTCACACCTTTGAAGAGTTCTTAAGTTACTTGGGATGATACTTAAATGCATCTGCAAAGTCATTATGAGGGACAATTTCCTGGTCTGCAAGGGGCGGGATTTCAAAGGCAGGAATTTCTTGGCTCCACCCCTCCATCCGGGAACCAGAGGCGTTTCAAATGTAAAGTTCTTGAGGTTTCTCGAGCCGGCTAGGTAGAGAAATCCAGGTGGGCTCCTTTGTTCAAAAATCTGCCAAAAGCTCTGGGAGGAGCCGGCTCTGTAGCTCAGAGTTGTGAACCAGATAGCCAATCTGGTATCAAAGTCAAAGATCAATCAATCACTCCAGAGGACGTTTGAAAGAACTCTCACTGGACGAGAACAGGAGTCAGAAAAGAATAACTCCAGGGTTAAAACTCCGCTGCTCTTTACCTATATGGATATCCTTCTCCGGATTCCCCTCCCACAACAGTGTGGGAGCTCTCTCCGTCTTTCTCTCTCTCTGCCTCATAAATCGCTTTTCTGCAAAACTCTTTGGGGCCACGAAATTTATTCGGTAAGCTCACCACGCTTCCGGGGCCCCTTTCCCCATTCTTCCAGGTAAGAGGGCCAAGGACCTCATCAGAACGGAGAGGGAGCCAAGTATGCATCCCTGCACCGTTACAATTATACAAGAAACAAAGTATTTTCCATTTTTTTATTTTAAACAAATAGAGGCTGGGGCAAGAGGCTTGGTGAGAAGATAGGCTGTGGGGGTGTGGATAGCATTTCTGACCCCCGGTGCTGTTATTGTGCTGACATCAGTATATATACAAAGAATCTTATACATACATAGAATTTCTTCTGTGAGGAAAATAGCTGTCATTTTACAGGGAAGTTGAGGTTTCAAGAGATTGAATATCTTGGTCCCAAAGCCATCATCTTGACAGATCAGTGGTCCACAAAGCAGGATTTGCATATTCTTAAGAGTATGAGATACAGCCCTTTAGATTGTGGGAAGGAAATATTAGAACTTCTATGGTGTGTAAAAAGTATTTTTGTTCCATAATGTATTCATCTGAGGATCATGTAGATAACTTATAAACAGATAAGGGATTTTGGGGGTTTTTTTGGTTGTTTTTGAGACAGTTTTGGTCTGCTTGCCCAGGCTGGAGTGCAATGTCGTGATCTTGGCTCACTGCAACCTCTGCCTCCTGGGTTCAAGCAAGTCTCCTGCCTCAGCCTCCTGAGTAGCTGGGATTATAGGCGCCTGCCACCACTCCCAGCTATTTTTTTATTTTTTATTTTTAGTAGAGATGGCATTTCATTATGTTGGCCAGGCTGGTCTTTGAACACCTGACCTCAGGTGATCCACCAACCTCAGCCTCCCAAAGTGCTGGGATTACAGGCGTGAGCCACCATGCCCAGCCATAAACAGGTATGTTTACATTGGGGGTACATTCAATGTACATATATATATATTTTGGGACAGGGTCTTACTCTGTCACCCAGGCAGGAGTACAGTGGTGTGATCGTGGCTCATTGCAGCCTCAATCTCCCATGTTCAAGAGATCCTCCCACCTTAGCCTACTGAGTAGCTGGGACTACAGAGGACACCACCACACCCATCTAATTCTTATATTTTTAGTAGAGATAGGTTTCTCCATGTTGCCCAAGATGGTCTTAGAACTCCTGGGCTCAAGCAGTTCACCTGCCTCAGCTTCCCGAAGTGCTGGATTATAGGCGTGAGCCACCGTTCCCTCCGCAATGTACATTTCTTGTTAAAGGACCGCTGGCCTAGGTGCCTGCCTGCCATGCCAAACCTGACACATTTCCACACCCTGTCCTCTACTGTTCCCAAACACTCTTTATATGTTCCCTGTAATGTTTAGCTTCTCCATTAACTGTCACACAAGCTAAGTACTTTGGACTGACTTTAAACTTGAGACTTTTCTCTACCTCTACCCCCCCACCACAAAGAATAGTTACCAAGGAATATTTTTCTAATTTTTCTCTGTAATGAATAAGACATAGTATTTAATAGCACAACAAAGTGACTATAGTCAGTAACAATTTAATTGTACATTCTAAGATAACAGTGTAATTAGATTATTTGTAACAAAGGATAAAAGCTTGAGGGGATGGATACCCCATTTTCCATGATGTAATTCTTTTTTTTTTTTTTTTTGAGACGGAGTCTCACTCTGTCACCCAGGCTGGAGTATAGTGGCACAATCTCAGCTCACTGCAACCTCTGCCTCCCAAGTTCAAGCAATCCTCCTGCCTCAGCCTGCTGAGTAGCTAGGATCACAGGCACCTGCCACCACACCTGGCTAATTTTTGTATTTTTAGTCAAGATGGGGTTTCACTATGTGGGTCAAGCTGATCTTGAACTCCTGACCTTGGGTAATCCACCCGCCTTGGCCTCTCAAAGTGTTGGGATTACAGATGTGAGCCACTGAGCAGGCTCCATGATGTAATTCTTACACATTGCATACCTGTATCAAAATATCTCATATACCACATAAATATGTACACCTACTATGTACCCACAGAAATTGAAAATTTAATTAAAAAGATTGTCCTCTCTAGCCTACCATCACTTTCCCAGCTCTCATCAGCTTTCACTTATCAAACAATCCTCTAACTGGTTTTATTACTTCCCACTTCCTGCTTCTCAATCGGATCTCCACATTATAGCCAGAGATTATTTTAAACTTTTATTATGCAAAACTTCAAATATATAAAAGATGAGGCCAGGCGTGGTAGCTCATACCTGTATTCCCAGCACTTTGGGAGGCCGAGATGGGTTGATCACCCAAGGTCAGGAGTGGAGTTCGAGACCAGTGTGGCCCACATGGCGAAACCCCATCTATACTGAAAAATACAAAAATTAGCCAGGAGTGGTGGTACACGCCTGTAATCCCAGCTCCTTGGGAGGTTGAGGCAGGAGAATCACTTGAACCCAGGAGGTGGAGGTTGCAGTTAGTTGAGATTTTGTTACTATGCTCCATCCTGGACAACAGAGAGAGACTCCATCTCAAAAAAAAAAAAGATGAGAGATTAGTATAATAGTATGCATCACCTAGATTCAACGACATCAGGTTGTGGAAATCTTTAT